ATTAAATCCTCTTCAATAATGAGCAACCTTCGGTGTGAGGAGACTTTCCTTTTCTTATCCCAGGCTTGATTCTAATCCTGGTCTACAGAGATAAAAGCCTGCCAGTAACTATTGTTAGCTAAAAAAAAATGCCAAACCAGATTGTAACTACATTGAATTCGACTTTGACGCTAATCTGAATTGCAACAAATTAAAAATATAAAGTACTATTCCTTCTCTGGAAAGAAATGGCCTGCAGAAAGACTTCTTATGCATCGAAACTATAAAGCAATCAACAGAGCAGTACAGGGAGCAGTTTATTTGGGGCTTTCTACACACTAAAGTACATTGCGGGGAAAACAGTTCAGAAAAATTAACCTGAACCTGACCTTGAATGATTAATTTTTCAGCATGGATTACATCCTGACACACACAGTATTTGAAAACTAATATGTTTAATCAGGTGACAAAGTCAACTCAACATACAAATTAGCAATTAAGGCAAAACATCATAACTAAAAGATATGTCACAGGTAAAGGATGACAAACAAATTGATTCTGATGAAAGCTTATGATATTTGACAGGCAGGGTAATTATATGCAATGCTGTTTTCTTACTTTGACTGGCAAGAAAGGTGACCTAGTTCTTTTTTTAAATGATTGTAACCTCAGGCAATATGCATACTGATGTCAAGTTGTTACATCGATGATCACTCAATATAGCTGCGGTCAGAAATATATAGCGCAATATAATATGGAGAAACATCCAAATGAAAGTTGGTTCTTAAAACAACTTGCTTGGTCGCAGTGAGAAACAAAACAAAACAAAGCCACATCTACCTCAAGACAAGATCTGTAAAGCAATAAATTGTGGAGATCACAGAGAATGGATTTTCCCTTTTAGCAGTGGCTGGCAGCAGGCAGTAGGAAATCAGATACCTGCTGAATACCCTTTTCCATTCTTCTTGCCATTCAAAGCAAGCTACGTTTGTTGATTTATGATGGGTGTTCGATCTTCTTTCTTTCATAGGACATGGACATCACTGGCAAGGCCAGCATTTATTGCCTGTCCCTAATTACCCTGAGTGAATTGCTCGGCCATTTCAGAGAACAGTGTTCTGGGGACCCAGGTTTGAATCCCACCGTGACAGATGGTGGAATGAGAATTCAAAGAAAACCTGGAATTAAAAGTCTCCTGAAGACTAGGAATCCATTGCCAATTGTCAGAAAATCCATCCAGTTCACCAGTGTCCTTTAGAGAAGGAAACTGCTGTCCTTACCTGGTCTGGCCTACATTTGACTCCAGACCCACAGCAAAGTGGTTGACTCTTAAATGCCAAATAAAAACCGAAAGAACTGAGGATGCTGTAAATCAGGAACAAAAACAGAAGCTGCTGGAAAAGCTCAGCAGGTCTGGCAGCATCCGTGAAGAAAAAGTCAGAGTTAACGTTTCGGGACCGGTGGCCCTTTTTTTGCAGGTATAAGGCCAGAGGGAAGGGTCCAGGTGGAGGCAGACTGTTGGAATTAGGTGAAGGGGTCTATGGGATAGGGAGCGGGTACTTGACCAAGAAATGGGCACGGAGGCGAAAATGGCAGAAGAAGAGTCGACGTCATGTCATGCCCAAAAGGTGGGGACGCAGAGGAATAAAGCTGAGTACAGAATGTTCAGCCTCGGAGAGCAGAGGTGGTATTGAGGGAGGGGGTGCAGTCAGAGGGAAGGGGAGGAGACGAAGATTCCAGAGGGCTGTAGTATCTCTGAGTTGTTGCACATTGTGGGTCTTGATGCCTGAAAGGAGAAGAAAAAGTTTCTTCTCAGCACAACAAATGAGCCAGAGGATGAACTGGAACTGTGGAGTGGTACAGCCCTGAGTCAATGTGTTGCGATGCTATCGGAGAGAAAGTTTGAGAGTGGGCATGTGACATTGCATGGCACTGAGTGCGAATCTCAGGATGCGGCAAGAGCAGCTGTCTGTGGAATGTTGAACATCACAGGGATATCTGTGATCCTGGGAGGATTCAAAACATGAGGGATGAAGCTTCAGTTAGAATCCACGTGGGGTGAGTCTGAACCGGAGGCAGTCACTGAGGAATGTGATATGGCTGTGGAATCGAGGTTTAGCAAGTACTTGGTCAATCACCAGGAGTGACAGTGAAATTAATGCCAGTGGGTAAGAAGAAAGGTTGGAATGGAAATCCCATTGGAGAGAGGAGCAGAACTTCTTCAAGTTGGGCATGCCTAAAAGAGACATGGCAGTGAGTTAAATATGAAATAAAAACTGAAAGAACTGCGGATGCTGTAAATCAAGAACAAAAACAGAAGTTGCTGGAAAAGCTCAGCAGGTCTGGCAGCATCTGCGAAGAAAAAATCAG